TATTTAAAAGACTCATATTTAAAAAACATTTTGTAAAATAAAAAAAAAATAAAAATAACAATGGCAGTCATAACGACGCCATTTCCGGCATTCCCTTGGAAAAAGGTGCATCCGCGTTGTCAGCAGAACTTCTTTCAGGATTATCTCAAATAAAAATAAAAAATACGTGTTTTAGTAAAGACAGTAAATTAGGTATTGGATGAAGGAAAACAAAAAAACAAACTAAAATTGGATTTTTGGCAGACGTTTTTATAAAAAAAATGCTAGTTTCGATGAAAATTTCTCGACAGTTTTTTTTTAATAGTTGTAATTTAATAAAACAAAAAAAAATCGATTTCTTTGAAACTGTGAAACCCATGTAACCCATGTAACCCGTTAAATCATTTAAAGTCATGAGACAAATGTTTTTTTTTTTAATTCATTCAAAGTCATATTTAATAAAAAAAAATTATTGTTTTTGGAATAGAAATTTTTAAAATATACAAATAAAGCCTGTAATTGCATGAACTCTGCTTAAAAAGATAAATTATTATTTTTTAATAATTTGTATGCCAGTTCAGTAATAATTTTAAAAATTCCGCTATCAAAAGTGCCTGTTGTTCAAAAAAGTGTTGATTTTATTTTTTGTAAATTTTGTATAATATGCATTTTTCTACAAATATTTTGAGCGAGGAAAACTTAAAAATTATGACTATAACGTCATTGCTGCAAAAATCAAGTAAATTTTCTTTTTTATACGACAAATTATTTTTATTTTAAGTTATATAATTTTTACAGGCTAACAACTTATTTTTTATGTTTTTTTAATTTGAAATATTTTTATTTATTATTTTGTCGCGCTTAAATTTTAACATGCAAGCTTATTTCTTAGAGCGAAAATTATTTCAAAATAATTCTCTTACATATTTTATTTTTCATATTCTGTACCAGCTTAATTCTAGTGTAACAAAACATTTTTGCTTAATTCTTAGTATTTTAATTTTTTTTTATTTTTGTATTTTTAAATATTTAGCACATGGAGGACGTTTTTCTTATGGTTCTTTGTTGTAGTAGAAAGTCAGTTGTAGTGTTTTTTTTTTGTAGTTTGGAATTTTTTTTTTGTTTTATATTTTCGAGTTTTTAGGCTTAATTTTGAAGAGAAGGCAGTTTGGAGAACTTTAGAAATTATTAATAAACAAATTTCGTCTGCAGATTTGATTATAGGAAAATTATAACGAAATGATAATTATTAATTTTGGACAATTATAACGTTATTAAGAACTATCCTATTGAAAAGTCGATACATTTTGCGTAAAAACTCGACCTTTACATGTTTAGAACCCAACTAAGCAGAGTGACGGATTAGAGTCTGTGTAATCCACATTCACATCCACATCAGCTATTGCGCTTAAGTCTTCGAAAATGCATAAATAAACCTATAACAGGGTGCGAAAATATGTGTGTCGGCATATTGATTTTCTCGAAATAGACTAAGGTGCTTTGAAACCGTTGCTTCAGCTATTTCGCTGTATAATTCGACAAAAATATCGGTGAATGATTCTGTAGGTCCGAAAATATATTCAATATATCTCTGTATAATGATCTCGAATTAAACGAACGTATTTCGGAATCTCTTTTTCCATTTGACAAAGTTGTATTCCACACCACGATCAGCAAAGACAGATATAACAAGCTAGGTACTAGAAATTATGGAAAAGCCAAGGCAAAATTCTCAAAGTCGTTATTTGGGCTCAGCTTGATTAGATTAGAGCACGACAGCTTAAAATGCTTTGTATTTTTTGTAAATAAGCGCAGAGATGTAAAATAACTGAGCTTAAGTACTTCCCATATTTTTAATCAAAATTAATAAAATTTATGAACTTGTGGAACACAGTACTGAAAGTGCTTTCTACAAGAAATTATAAAAAATATTTTTATTTTTGATGTATATCCTAGTGTTATGTGAGAAACGGAGTGATCTAAAATGCCTTTGAATTCCTTCGAAAAGTCTATACATTTTTATGAACTAGTGAAACACATCGTTGAAAGATACTTCTTTAGGAAATTATAGTTATTTTGGTGTTACCTGTCAAATGGAGGAATCTAAAATCGCTTTGAGTCCATTTAAAGATTCTTCCGCCAAAATATTATTAAAATACAAATTTTAGGTAGCTATTTTGTTGTTATCTGAATAATATAGTAATATAAAATTTCTTTGATACCCTTCGAAAAGCCAATTGATTTTTATGAACTTGTTAAACACAATACTAAAGTGCTTTCTCCAAGAAATTGTAAAAATATTTATACTTTTAGTGGGTATCTTAGTGGTATGTGGCATATGGAGTGATCTAAAATTGCCTTGGGTTCATTTAATAAATTTATAACTGTTTATTGACATAAGTGATCTAAAATGACTTTGAGTCCCTTCCAGAAGCTTATTGACTTTTATGAACTTATGAAACACAGTATTAAAAGTTATTATATTTCTTTAACAAGTCATATATTAATTACACTTTTCTTAATCATTTTGATGGTATTTAACAAATGGAGTGCTCTTAAATCACTTACGGCTACTTAAAAGAGCCTATTGCTTTTTAGCCAGCAATTGCGAGAAGTACGCTGTTTAGGCTCTCGATCACATATATGTAGGTGGAAATAAGAATAAAATACCGGGAATAACATATACGAGGAAATAAGAAAAATTGATTTCTTACCGAAAATGTATAAAGACCTTTTATAATTTAAACTCTTTTCAAATTGCACCTGACTATGTTGCCAATTTTCCACATTTTTGAATGTTTTGAACTTCTCAACTGCCTTCTCTTCCTGTCTGTGGAATAATACATTAAAAGTTTACTTCTTTCCAACTATGTTTAGGGCACATGTAAAGCTTTTACAACTACAAACTAATTATATCCGTTAAGTTTTTACACAATCAAAATTAAAAGTAAACTACATTATATCAATAATACGTACAATTGGAGCACTCAGACACAAAAATTTCACTTAAAATTTAATTTTGATTATTTTTTCATATTTTTTAAAAAGTTTGGAAATCGCTGAGCTTTTTAACACACTGTACTTTTTTAACATTTGCACTCAAAAGTTTCAGAAAAATGGCTAAAACACTCAATTATATTACAAACTCAAATAATTATTACAAATAGCACAAACCTACATAAGTAACACTCAATACAAATATTTTTTAAACACACACACACAAGCATAAGCAGAAGTAGTACTTAATAATCTCATTTCTTAAGTAGTTTTAATTGTCACATAACCTAACATTTTGGCTTTCACTCAATTCATTTGAGTGCAAATAACCTATTGAGCAGTTGATATAAACAACAAGGCTTTATATATCTATATGTGTTACGTAATTTTTAGGAGACTTGGGATACTACACTAACATTTTTACTGAAATATTTTACAAAATATACTCGGAACTAAAGAGAAAGGCTAAAAAAAACTCAACACACACATTACACTCACTCACGCAACGAAATCTCTCTTACACGCCTTAATTATAATATTGACCATTTTAAATATTAAACTAAACTAAACGTAAGCCTGAGCACGCGTACGCGGATCCTTCCCTTGCAGCCGCTCGACGAAGTTACGCCAACTCACCATCGTCTTACCCGAATACAACCACACGCTCGACGTAACGCCCACCAACATTGAACACAAATATTTGGCCATATAAATCTGAAAGATGGGCCGCGATTCCAAACCATCCTGGCGCAACTGCGGACATGGTATGGAGAAGGGTTTGCAAATGTCGCGATGCCATTGTATCATCCATTCATCGAAATTATAATACTCATAGAAGAGACAGCCGAGAAAACCGAGCGCCGGCAATATGAAGAGCCCCGAGAAGAAACCGATACGCATCATGAGACGCTCCAATTTATCCGTACGTTTGCCATCCGTCTTCATAACGGTACGTATGCGAAAGAGCGATACAAAGCCGGCGAGTAGAAAGAGTGCGCCTATCGAGAGATAAATACAGAGTGGTAGTATGAGGAATACGCCGAGTGAGTGTGTATCCAGTTGACCGACAAAACAAACGCCGGAGAGTATGTCGCCTGGAAAGAGAGAAATAAGAAAGATCAGAAATTAAACATCGATTAAATTGAAAGGCTTAAGTATAAAGAAAAACAATTAGCATTTGAATATTGGAGAGTTTAGCTATCCCTAAGATATTTCTGATTATATCTCGTTCCACCCAAAGAAGAACTTCCACTGTTGGTCTTTTGAAACCTTACTGTTTTGTCCAGTAGTTGAACCAATGATAGCTGTTTGATCCTTAGGGTTTGGACTTCCAACAAAATATTGAAGAATGCTCCAATGATAATTATTTCTGAAATGTTTCAACATTAGCTTCAGAATTAAGTAGATAAGGAGAGTTCTTAACATAACTAGAAACGGTTTTTTCTTCCTTCCATCAATTATCACTCGTAGTATAGTATAACTATATTTTCTTAAAGGGCTTCTGTAGGTGAATAAGGTCTTTAGGAATCTGAGAACCGCTTTTGGAAACAGCAGATACAATTTGTGAACTTTTTTGAAAGGATAGGTAGTCATACATATACAAATATATTAAAGGGCAACTGGAGCTCGATAGACTCGTGCAAGTTTTTATACAGGGTTTCTCAATGAAATATTATGCTTCTGCGTACATTTAAAATCGCTAGAAGATAATCACAGCAGTGAAAGTATGAATTGTAGCAGAGTTCCTACATATTTCTAGCATATCTATAAAATATATATTTATATAGGTACTATATACACCATCCGCATCTCTCGAATGACAACAGGAAATACAATGGAAGAAAAAGCTGGAAAATTTCAGAAAAAAATATGAGCGTATAAACAACAACGTTGGCTACCCCAATGGGGCATGAAACAACTATTGATATTGTCAGGAATGCTTTGACGGCGCCAAGTTGGAAGCCACAGCATAGTGGGGTCGGGGAAAGCCATGCGTCAATGCGTGAATTGACTATATTTGTGTATTTAAGATTCCGCTGTTGCTGCAGGCGATTTGTTGCCGACAGATAAAAGTTTTATTGCATCTATGGATTTTGTTTTTATCCGCTACGTATGCTTGTTTGCTTAAGAGGTGACAGCGTAGTATTTGATGGCGACATCAGCAATTGTTGATAGGCTAACCGAATGAGTGACAATCGAACGTTGAATGACTGCACACTGAAGCGATTTGATGACTTGACTTGCTGCATGCAATTGACAGTTTGGAGCGGCGATATTATGGTTATATACGACAAAAATGGTGTGACAATCACCAGTGAAATTAGATGACATTTTATAAAAATTCAAACACTTGAGAATGCTTTAAAATATTGTCAAAGGAGTAGCGGCATAGAATCGCAGAAATGTTTCGAATGGAAGCACCTACTGTCTTCTATCGTAATGTCGCATTTCTTTCTTGGTGATAGCTGAGAGAATGAAGTGAAATTTTTAAAAGATTAGGGAGGAAACGTAGTATCTAGGGAGAAAAAGAGAAGCAGTCGAGGCTTTATGGATAGCTTTTACTCTCTGAGGGAGTAAAACATAGTATTTAGAGAGAAACAGAAAGGCGTTACTGTTAGCCGTTTCTCTGTACATATCTGAAAATTAACCAACTTCGCTTAGCATGTTTTCTAATAAGAAAAGCTTCGACTTTACATAAACTTTGATACAAGGCTACACATCGTACCATAGATATTTAATCGCAAATTGTGTGGGAGTGACATTGGACCTATTGACAGATAAAACCAAAAAGTACAGAAGGATATATAGTTTACTTGGATAAACCGACGAAGTTTAACTCTTAAAACAGGAGACGATACAATACAAGTTCGCTACACATTATACGACACAAGGTTATAAATACTTCTACACTAATTCCATATATAAATACATATAGAGTTGTTGAGCATATTCATGCAGCAGCTCATGTCTATACACGTTCCGTTGAAAAAGATCTTGAAATGAAAGTAGTGGGATTTGGGTCCCGATAATATTTCGGTGCGCAGCGTAAGTCACAGAAGTTGGGAGAGTTCATAAAACATATCTAGTTGAAGCTTCGATAGCCTAGGTCGTTTAACCTTAGTCTCTCAAAATCGGGTTAGTCAAAAAGGCTGCCGATGGGATAATAACTATGTATATCTATATAAATTGACAAGAAGTTTGCAACATCCGGAACAGTCGGAGACTACATAAAATGTATATATGAGTGAATTTAGTCATGTTGATCAGTCTGCTTATTGTATATAAAGGAAAATTTCCTCAATTGTTGAGATATCGAACTGAAATTTGGCACCTGTACTTTTCTCTTAAATAAGATACATATTTGCTGGAACCGCCGATATCGGGTCACTATAGCATATAGCTGCCATACAAGCTGAACAAACGGCATTAAGTGCTTGTATGGAACACTTCTACATTGTACGAGATATCTACATTAAATTTGGCATGGACTATTATCTAAAATAATAATGCAATTCTCCAAGAAATTATTTAGATGGGACCACTCGGTATGGCTGCCATACAAACTGAACAATCGGAATGAAGTGCTTTCAAGGAAATTTTTTTTTTTTTTTTTTTTTTTGTAAAGGTATTATAACTTTAATGCAGCAGGATGTAACATTTTTCCTTTTGTAATTAGTTCTAGAAAAAAAATCAAAAACAAGTTATACTTTTTGAAACTTTTCAGATCCTTTAAGCTTTTATAAATAAAAACTCGCATTAAATTTTTGTCAAAAAAAAAATCCTTTAATATAATATAAATTTTAAAATAAAATTAAGCCAACTATGGCAACAACAAAATATTTCTATAATAAAATATTTCTATAAATACATATAGAAATATTTTGCTGCTAACAATAGCAACCATAGTCGAGAACAAACGCCGCCGGTGCTGCTATTTACCCAATGTGTTAAAGCAAATATTTACTTTCACTCGAAATGGAGCACTTACATAGCATAGCATAGCATACCAGCACATAGAAGTCACAAGTAGATTGCTGCAATCGCATTAAGCTTCACTTGCGCCATGATATTTTATATACACATATGGTTATTGTTGTCATTGTAGAAATGTATATATTTGTATTTACCAACCAACGGTGACATAAATGTATTTAATTTTATGCATTATTTGCTTAAAATAAAGTAATATTTAGTTAGTTGATATCTTTCTGCTTACACAGTAAACTTAAAACTATAAATTTACACTCGAGTCTCTCTCTCTCTCTCTCTGTGTACGAGCATATGAATACTAAGAGTCTATGCTTACTTGTGGCGCAAATAAATATTTACCTAACTGTCAACGTTATCAGTGAAGCACTCGATATCCAACACTTGAAATGTGACAATTCAACTGTCAAGCAAATAAATACGGCGCAAGCCTAATGACACAAGCCAATTGTAACATCTGTATGCATATATGTATGTTATCTACGGCAACATCGTCCAACTCTAAATACAACAACAACCATGACAAGCTACACTTCAGAAGGAGTAGTCACATTTAACGCCTGTCAATTTTGACACGCACCCGACGAGCTCCACGCCACTCTGGTGGTGCAACAAATGCAATTGGCAGCTCTTTTGAACACTGGAAATGCTTGTTCTTGTCTTGAGCTCTGAAAGCCAATTATAGATGACAGCTTGGCACTCGGTGGAAAAATCGCATACACTTTCTGATTTCGAACTATAAAATTATGGATTCCATGGTTAAATACTTCGTTTGAATTGGCTTTAAGTAAAGTCATCTCAAATATGAATTACTCTGAAATATGAGCTTGGTTGAGCCTCAGAAGTTGGCTCTTCAAAATGGCATACAAATAATTGTACTAACTACTTAAAGTATATGCCTATAAGTACAGTCTAATGACTCTGAACTTGTCAAAGTTTGACCAACAAATCTGGTCGCTGATTAACTTAAATCTTGAATATCAGCTTTTTGGCTATTTTCATCATTGCTTTTTACCTAATATCTGATTTGGCTGAAACATCTCACTCTCATTACTCTACTTAATCTAAAGCTAATTACTTCATCAGCGGCTTTCTCTGCCTTCTAAGGTTGCCATTAGTCCGGTGTAAATACCGGTATGTTGTCATTCTAATTACCAAAAAAATTCTCGGATTGTTAGTAACACTTTAGAATGTTTAGCTAAGCAGTTAGTGTGCAAGTGAAATTTCTTTTTCTGTCAGTGGTCACTCAGGCGCATAACTGGTTAGCGTCTTCAAAGTCAGAAGCGCCGACAATTAAGCTGCTTAATCACCAGTTAAGTACGTGTATTTTGTTGTAAACAGGCTTTTAGCAAATCTATAAGTATCCAAGTAGCGGAGAAATTCTTCTAAGCACAGAAATATATTTTTAGAAAAAAAGTCGAATCTAAATGTTGTCGATTACTACTATTTATAAATACCATTACAATTTTACACATTTCATAAATTTATATAGCTCTTTTAACAAGCTTACTGGGAATTTACGAATTCAGAAATTTCGATTATATATCATATATTAGGTTGTCAAAAAAGTCTTGTGGTATTTTTATTGAATTTTTTTTCAAATTTCAATTGTTCATAAAATTTTTTTTGATGACTCATGCCCAGCTCTTGACAGATGCTACGGCTGCTACTATGCCGGTTTCCTTCGACCAATTCAGCGATTTTATCGCAATTTTCGACGACAGGCCTTCCGGAGCGTGGCGCATCTTCGATCACCTCTACACCAGAACGAAAACGTTGAAACCATCGTTGTGCGGTGGAAATGGAAACTGTCTCGGGTCCATAAACTGCACAAATTTTATTGGCGGCTTGAGATGCATTTTTGCCTTTATCGTAGTAGTACTGTAAAATATGTCGTATTTTCTCTTTATTTTTCTCCATCTTTGCGACGCTATAACTCACAAACGACTTAAAAAAACAACAATCAATCAAACACGATGCGACGAATAAAGCTAGAACTACACGCTCTCAACGCCAATTTGCGAAAATACCGCAAGAATTTTTTGACAAACTAATGCAACTATTATTCAGATTTGCTTTTTAAGAGTCTTAACGTTTAGGCTTTTCA